AAAAATCAGGAAATGTCATATATGTTCTATAAATAAAAACACAGAGCTTCTGAACTGTACATCCCAGTCATCTCCATATTTTCCTCATTCCTTTCCCCCCTCTATTCCTGCATGTTTATTTTTAACACTAGTAAATTGACATTAGGCAGACCAAAATTTCTAAATTTTACAGAAGCACCAGGAGTCCAATCTATAACACAGCCCATTTGGGTGGGTAGAGGCTATAACACAGAGAAAGAGGAGAATTACAATGAGATGTATGTATGCTTAAACTTTTGTTTTGTTCAACATATTCAAATATTTTGTTCAACATTTTCTTCAATGACCTGGAACACTGAAATCTCCAAGTTTGCAGATAATACTAAATTATTCCAGGAGTCAAATCCCAAGAGGACAGAGAGGAGCGCAGAAAGATCAAACCAAGCTAAGTGAGTGCGCAAAAAAATGTCAACAATTTGAAGGTCATCTGCCAAGTGCAAGGTAATGAACACGGGGAAAAAAAATCTCAGCTACATACACAATGCTAGGTTCTGAACTAGCTGTCATATATGACTTGGAAAACAGAGCCTGGAGTAACTGTAGACAGTTCTCTAAAAATGGCAGCTGTGTGTACTGTGGTGATCCTCCCCCCCCCCACCAAAAAAAAATGTTGGGCATCACTAGGAACAGAATTAAAAACAAAACACAAAATATTATCATGTCACTATACAAATCTATGGCGCACCCACATCTTTAATACTGCATGCAGTTCTGGTCTCTGCATCTTAAACAGGATGTAGCAGAATTCCAAAAGGTACTTGGAAGGACGAACAAAATGATCAGGGGCATGGAGCAGTTGCCACTAAAAGGCGAGGGCTCTTCAGTTTGGAAAGGAGAAGGCTCAGGGAGGGATATAATATAGGTCTATAAAATCATGAAAGATGAAAACAAAGTGAACAGGGAACTGTTATTTACCAAGTCCCAAAATACTAGGAATAAAGGGTACCCACTGTCATCAGCAGGAGACTGGTTTAAAACTAACAGGAGAAAGTACTTTTTACTTAAGCGTGTTGTTAACTTGTGGAGCTCATTACCACAGGAGGTGGTAAGAACAGGTAGCATAGCCAGGTTCAGAAAGGGACTAGATAAATTCATGGATGAGAGATCTATTAATAGGTATTAAAAGCAGGTATTAGCATCTTGAAACCAATGATGGTGGATGCCAGGAGGCTAATAAATAGGGGATAGATTACTCTAAATATACCTAGTTCACTGCTTTCTCTCTAAATCAACTTTTTTGGCACACATGCCACAAATTAAGCCCCGTGTCCTCCTGAGGGTCACCCAATTCCTTTCCTCTGTTGCTCTACTTTCTGTTCCTTGCCCAATCTGCTATTTTGCTTTCTGCTCCCTGCCCTGTGCATCCTATCTTATAAACTGCTCTGTTTTCTGCTTCCTACCCCATCTACCACTGTGCTGACTGCCCCCTCCCTGATCTGCCACATGCTACACAGAGACTGCCTATGCCACCTGTGGGCAGGCTGGCCACCTCTGCTCTAAAGCATACCTTCCTGCCAATGTTGGAAACAGGACAGCGAGCTAAATGGACCACTGGTCTGACCCAATATGGCACTTCTTATGTTGTACACACATATACTTGGTTAATTTCTTATAAGCATTATAGCAGAGGTGAGTAGTAAGGAAGGATTTAAAGGAGGGAATAGATTCATAGATTCATAGATTAAGGGTCGGAAGGGACCTAGTAGATCTTCTAGCCCAACCCCCCGCCAGGGTGGGAGAACAACAAAAAACCCCAAAAAGAGAAATGGGACTCAAACGAGTCCAGCCAGGTAGGCATCCAGCCTCTTCTTAAAGACCCAACCTCTTCTTAAAGACCCTTCTTAAAGACCCTTCTTAAATAGTAACTTCACAGATCAGTAAGGAGATAATTCTTTGTTCACAGGGCAGTACGAGAGCGGACAGTTATGCCGTAACTGCTAGTTTGCAGGTTGAAAAAAGACAGTTGCTGAAGATCATACCACTAGCCTCAAAACAGCACCAGAACTCTTCAATTCCTATCTCTCATTCCCTGACTCAGCAAATTAGCAACTGTGTATATGTTTCAATCACTGATGTATCTCCATCTGTCTTGCTCTTCTTTACTGCTACTGAATAATTTAAAATGCCACTTACTTCTTGCAAAACATGTCCAAGTGTCTCTTGGCTCTGAATGCGTTTTCTGTTTAAAAAGAAGCGAAATAACTGTTTCAGTGCAGAGCACTAGTAGTACTTGCAAAAAAAAAAAAAAAAAAAAAAAATCAATCTAATTTTTGTCATATTTCCAGAAAACAGGGGAGTCCTGGACAATGCTCTGCTAGAGATTGCTACCCATCAGGGGAATCCTTGGGTCAAATTCTTTAAGGAATACTTAACCAAGCATTAAGGGCTACTAATATAAGGTTTTCCTGACTAAGACTCACCGCCTGCTTCCTTTTCTGAACAGTAATCTGTTTAGTGATTTAAGCAATAAAATCTCAGTTTAGGCCTTAATATAGGAGTATGGGTGACACTCCCTGCTATTCCAATTCCAGCCTCCCAAGCCGTAGGAATCTGTTCTTCAGCAGTGGGTAAGAGGAAGATATGCAAATCCTTCAGCCTTAGACAATGACTTTTCCAGAGTCAAAGTACAGGCATGCACTCCTTCATAAATCAGTGGAAATGACTTAGGAAAATAAGGATGTTCTAACACAAAAAAGCATAGTATGATAACAGTGATTGCGTACTGCAGTCTATGCTATATAATAAGTGTATTTAACAGTATTTTAGGTCCAAACACAAGCCCACTTTTTTACCTGTCTATTTTGGTTGCTATGATAACTGTGAAATTCCCCTCTGTATTAGGCAAGTATGTAGAGGGTACAATTACATAATTCCCTGCAGAAAGTCTGCACAGTTGGCTCACTTCTTGTGAATAGCAATGAGGTACACAGCTAACCAGTGGCTCCAACTGCAGAAAAAAAGCAGCATGTGGTTTCCAGTTGCTGTTAGGTATCTACAAAAATGAGAAAAATAAAAACCTGTATATCATTTTAAAAGTTTCAGATAACAGCTTTAAGAAAAGTTATTTTCCACGTATACTTTACCCAGCCTAACACACACCTTTTCCCATGTAGGACTACCGTTGTCTCAAGGTTACTTGTCAACTGAGAGGTAAAATACTACATTATTTGGAATCAGGGAAAGAGCCTGTATCCAGGTAAAGTACGACGGGCACTGAGTCACCATAACATTATGAAACGTTTGCATTTTTATAAAAACAGTGAACTCCACAAATTTAGAAAGTCTCCCTTTAATAATGTAAGTCAGTGGTAAGTAGCCATTGTGCTTGTGTTAAACAAAACCCTCAAATGTTTTCATTCCAACAGCTACTGTGGATTTCTAAAATTAGGACATGGAACCAAAGATCTGATCACTGCTGCATCCGGTCATGTACCATTATGTCATAACACTTGATTAAACTATGTATTAATATAATTTAGATATATATTATGATTTGGCTCAATTTTGATTTCTAAGATGTACTTCCATTCCTGAGGCATTAGGCACTCAGATTAAGTGATGGATTTAATCTACTTTGGTAACTGAAGCAGTCAGCTCAACACAGACAAATCATACCTGAAAAATATGAAACCCTATTGGATGACACTTGCTATCTTGACAGTGCTGGCGAAGGGTGACTTTCACGCAACTCTCTCCTATTCCTGCAGAGACGGAGAGGGGAAAGCAGGGATTGGTATGGAAGGAGGGGAAGTTCCTGCTACCTCCAGCACTGTGACCGTTTTTCCAGCATCCCTGCAGCTGCACTGTCTCCCATTCACCTGGTGGGAGCTCTTCACAGAGGGCAGCATCAATGGGTGGTGGTTTTATCTCACTATCAAATGTAAGACAGAAAGGGAAACTGATGTAGAAATGATGAAAGGTTTCCATGACTGTAGTTCACTATCCCCAGTGCCCAGCTGTCAAAAATAAGCTACTATTCATAACAAAATGTCAAAAAAGGTCAACTGTTGCCAGTTGGGAAAGAAAGTCCATTAACAGGCAATTATTGCCAAATATACATAAAATTAAAACGCAAAATCTACACATTTTTGGAATGTTACAGGTAAGAAAACAAACAGGCAAAAGTAAAAAATGACGGTTCCTACAGCACTACTGATTTAGTTACACTGCATGATATAAATGTAAAAAGCATGAGCACAGTATATTGAATATATATATATAAGAAAACACCAATAAAAATACAACATGCTGAGTTTTGTCAGGAAACTTAACTTATAACTTTCATAACTTCAGTGTATTTAATTTCTTAACCTTAACATCCAGTAAACTTAAGATTTCGCGTTCAATTTTCAAATTTATTCCCCATAATTGGGGTAAGGAGGAAAAGTCAAAAAAGGGAAAACAAAAACCATGCAGAGTCCTTCTCCGTAGCCAATAAAGTTTCAGAAGACATCTACCCTGGTTAAGGCACATACATTGTAGAACTGAGCAAAATCTAAAACTCAAAGATGCCGGGACTTATTGTGTAGCAGTAAAGTTGTCATATTAATCATACCAAAGCATGCGATAAAGCACATTCCCTATGATCTATGTGCTGCAGAGAACTATGTAGTTCATCTGAGAAATGCACACTTTCTCCAGATACTAAGTTCTTCTCTTGGGTCAAGAAGAAACTCAGAAAACCATGCAAACTCAACGAGATACTTTAAGGAGGACTTTAGCAGACTACTACCTCATTCAGGTGAATAGATACACTATTCACCTGAACAACAAAAAGACTTAACAACTCCATTTTATGTATTTCATCTCACTCCCCACTCTGGTCACTGAAAGCTTCTTGCAATACTATAAAGCTCTGTAGAAATTGCACTGGCATTGGCAAAGAATTTATGGGTTTTTCACTTCTTTTTTTAACATACCTGAGAGAGATTCTCCCTGTTGAGAACACACGAAGCAGAAAGTGCCCCTCTGCATTCTTCAGAAAGGTGCTGGGGACAACAAGGTAATAACCAGGAGAAAGATCACAGCACACATGGACTTCTCTGTCATAGGAATGGCACACACTGCCTACAACAGGAGGAGCAGAGAGAGTCTTTGGCAGATTAAACCGCCTCTTCTCCACCTAGAAAAGAACATTGTAGGAAAATTAATGAAAAGTTCAAAAATGGTCTAATATTCTGTCAAATCCCAAATCCACTGCAACACAAGCTTGTGCATTACTATCTAGAACATAATGGTTATTTGTGAACTCATCTCTGACAGTCAGCTTCTAGATAGCTCTTGTGAAGATGAGTATGTTGGTGGTAGGACAATACAATGAGTTTCCCTGTTTCTGTGCTCCTCAACAGATGCTATACAGAATTTAATTGGGAGCTACAATCTTTTCTGCTGTTCTCTGTAGATATTAATGCCAGACAGAGAGCAAGAACAGATAAACAAAATGCTCCATCGCTTTGTCATTGCACCAACCAATGAAACAGGCCAGCTATAGAGCCTATTAGGCCATTTCAAAAAGCAACAGTTCACCTGAAACCAGATTTATGCAGACCACCCCTTCCTCCCCCCTGCCCAGCCTGCCTGAAGGCACCTGCGGCAGAATCACAAGATGTGAAGGAAACACAAAAATAATATACTATTGTTTTCATTCCGATTAGATCCACCCAGAAGCCAACATAACCAGGACATGAAGTCTAAATACCTCATTTTGAAGGGACTACTGACAAAACTGGTTGGAACTGAAACTACTTATATATTGTATACTGTAGCTACTTTTGAAAATCTCATCAGATCTCTGGTAGCCTGAAGTTTCATAGTTTCATAGTAGCTAGGGTCAGGAGGGACCTGAATAGATCACCTAGCCTGACCCCCTGCCACAGGCAAGAATGAATGCTGGGTTCACAAGACCCCAGACAGGTGATCACGCAACCCCCTGCTGAACTTGCCCAAGGTAGGGGCGAGGACCACTTCCCTGGGAAATTGGTTCCAGATTTTGGCCACCCTAACTGTAAAATATTGCCTTCTGATCTCTAACCTAAACTTATTCTCCATCAGCTTATTACCATTGTTCCTCGTCACCCCAGGTGGTGCTGGGGAGAAAAGGGCTCT